ACGTTTGATTTGCCTATGCAGTCAAGATAAATCCCATTTTACTCAGCAACTTACGCATAGTTTCTGTTATCTCACTGAAGTTTATAACGAATCAACTGTTAGATATTGCTCTTCGAAAATACGTCTTAGTTTCTTTTGCTAATTCACTTTTACAATGGCCAGTAAGATGAATATCATCTTGTTTTTTTTTCATTCATCAGGAAATACAAAGACTTTTCCAGCGGTGAATATCACACACCCAATGCCTAAATTGTTTCCAACTATTAAATGTGAAGTTGGTTTGGATATACATACGTTAACTACAAACCAGATTACTTTACAGAAGCATAAATGTAACTTTTATAGTAATAATATCTTTAACCCACGTTGTCTATTGAGGAGGTATATTCCAAAATGTCTACTGGTAAGAACTCTTGAATATTCTTACGAATCTGTACTTATTATGAATCCCGTACGCCGTGTATACTTGCGTGAAAGCATATATATATATATATATATGATGTATCAAAAACGACTATTGATTTAGGAAATAGCATCTATAATCGAACCTGCCCAGTAAGTGATAACCAATGAAGAAACACAAACTCTACGTCAAAAAATATCACATATTTTAATGACACAGGACAACGAATTCACGCAAAAATATGGTTAAGATACGTCAATGACGCCTGTGTCCCACCAAAATGTGTCCACCTACATAGTTCATTCTTGAAGTAATTACAAAATCAATCTCCTAGCATTCAGTTTACTTTAGAAGAAGAATCAGATGTCGGCGAGTAAATTTTTTTAGGAAGAAAAAATTCTCCAACAAGTAGTTAAGCTTTGAATTGTCACATACTATCAGCGCAAAGGTATCAATTGTCATAAGCCTACCTAGACGAGAACACTATGATGACAGATGAAAAGGAAAAAGAAATTTTAACTATTACAGAAATTTTCAAGAGTTGCTTTGTAGGGAATTGATTTGTTTCAGATTTGATCATGGATTGGTGTCAGTTGGAAATTCTAAGGAAAATTATTATCCAGAAAAATTTATTAACAAATTCAACATGAACATTAAACATGGCTGAAAATGTACTCCAAAAACATGAACACCAATAGGTGTTATTCCATGTAGATCAAACACACCTGATAAGATCAGAAAAGTACTCAATAAGTGCTACAACGTCAAAGTTTTCTTCAAAATATAAGACGCTAAAAAGCAACAAGGAAGACCGAAATCCAGGGGATTCACAATCTGTCCATAAAACTGAGTGCTTAGAATGTGTTGTGATATACATCAAACCTCACGAAAAATCAAGATCAGAAGGAATTAACAGTCTTTATTCCACCACCAAAAACACCAATGGGAACTAGAAAAGCTTATAACCTCGTCCGCCATAGTTCTACATTCCACAGAACAAATCCACAAAACTGATTTTAGTATTTGCAATTAATAGTGTTCTCTGAGCTGGTTGGTTTAGTTGCGAAGCTTTCGTCGTCCTTCTGGACAACATCTTTAGCGCCATATTTAGCACAAAGTGAAATGATTAAATTTCTTCATGAGTGATACAATTGCGTCTCCTGGTAACTATCTTTACGTATGTACTGGCCATTTTAAACTTTCTGGTCACCTGATTTACTTTTTATTAGTTGGTATATTTCGTCTATATTAACGTGCTTGTTAATTTCATTTTCGTTTGAGTACCAGGCTTCTAGGAATTCCCTGGCACTTTTAGTGTTTCCTCTGTCTAAGATTTTGACATTATCCCAATTAAATTGATGGATGTGATTACCATAAAGGTTTAGCCCTGACAGGCTAATTCTAATGCCTTTCCACGCGTCTCAAACAGAGACAGTGAGAGACAATTTCAAGATGAATTATTTGCAGTGTGTAAGGTCAGTTGTTCCAGAAGCTTGCGCATTGTATAAATGAGTGTAACAGTGCGAACTGATAACTGTTAATGCAATGTGATGTCAATGTGTAACAAGTGCGGTTGCATATACATAAATAGATATACATACGTATCAGTGAACTGTGAGTACTCTGACGTGTTGATTTCACCTTTATTCACAAAGATTATTATTGAAATCATTTAGAAAATTTTCAGAAACCACAAAGAACGTCTCATAGTGAAAGCTTAGATGAAATCCAAACTGTCTGCATCTAGTTTATTATCTTTACTATTTCACCAATTCGATAACTCCCATGACCTTAGAGTCAGCTTTGTTTCCCTAAATTGTTGCATAGTAAAATCTGTGCAGTCCCTTAATTAATTTTCCAATATATTTCTCGAACACATTTGCATTCCTTTATTCTCTTGTTCCCCCACTACCCGTTTGTTTTCAATCAGCTATTCACCACCTAACTAACTAGTTACCAACCCTCTTGATTACCCAAGAGTATTCACTGTTTTTCACACAATGTTATCTTTCATAGACTTTGACTCGGACTGTTACTACTAACAGATAATAACCTCTAGCCTTCGTTCTTAATTAAAATATATACATATGCAGTCCTAAATAACTATACTACTTGGAAGTGAAGTCATGAAAAAATTCTCTTTGCTGAGTTATGTGTTCTTAATCATTCCATCGATTAATATTTCCCAATCGGTTTACGGAGTAAATTTCCTTAAGCTGTGGTAAGAAACAATGGCTATTTCAGCTAGCTTCAAAGACCCTCAATTTATGCAACAGAAAGGACGAAAAAGAACTATTGTTTTAGTCCTGAATGCATGGTAGTATAGCTCAACTCGTAGGCGCAAAATCTGATTTGCTGTGTGTGTATGTATAACAAAGAGTCATTAGTAATAAAATGATAATTCTGAAAGGTAAACCTTCCAACCAGTAAACAGTCTCACATAAAATAAATATCCGCTTAACTGGAACAATAATTTCAAAATCGACATTTGTTAAGAAAATCGGCCATTTCCATTAATATCGCATTTGCTCTCATTGGAATAATATAAAACAAGCTATAGATAGCCCCCATTTTAGAAAACCTCAACAGCTTTGAGTAAGACTGCAAGATCACTTTCAAAGGAAATCCTACACATGAGAAAGACTGTGCCAAAGGCCTGTGACAAATCTTACAGAATGAACGGTAACTTTTATGTTACCTAGAATCAGAAGGCTTCTATTGTTTGGTTACTCTGAAGTAACCAGTGCCATATCTCTAGTATTTATTTTTGGTGCTGAGTGAATCCTATCACCATTCTTGGGATTTATTAGTCCGCACACCTCAGTGTCAACATCTGTGACTGCAGCATTGGGTGGCGCCATATCGAATCTCCGATGGAACATCAGTACCCCCTAGTTTGTAGAAATGTCACACATGACTGCCAACAAGCACAAAATCTAGACTCATAGCTTCCTGCCGACTGCATCCAACCCCCTAACATCAGCAAGCCCCTGTTACAACCATCCAAACTGCACCATCACTGTAATCTCGGAGAGGTCTTAGAAAAAACTGCTTAGTGACGTGTGATTGTTAGAGGCGAACATATAGGAAATCTAGTACATTGGATAGAATAACTTGACAAACAAAAGAAGTGCATACAAATATTAGTTATTTAACCACTGTTACCCAGGAAAATTCGAATTTTTAACTGAAATTCTTTAGTCTATTCCTTTCAGGGAAGATGAAACAGAAAGTGGGATAAATTTACTCCTCGCTAACTTACATCCTCACTCTAACCGAACCTCTGGTTGTCTTCTAATTTCAAAGTCTGAAGAAAGATAATTCAACGGTGTATAGAGGTTTAAGAACTGAAAATTTTTTATCAGGAACCGACAAGCGAACTGTTGTTAGGTACGACTGTCTGGATTACTTAAAAGTCTGATGTATGAAGTCATTCGATAATAAGCCGGATTGGGCTTAACAGTACATGTGAGGCAGAGTTGTCTTTATTCTTCAAAAAACTGCCTCCTTCATAAATTTGAATACGTGTTACATACTGCTGAACACAGTAATTTTTATACCAACATAATTGTGTCTTATCTAACTCCTTTGGGAACCATTTGGCGCGAATTAGTTAACCACGTGATACTTCAATAAAGGAGCCAATTAACAAGAGACATTTTGAGAATAACGTTTTATAGAAAGACCTCTGCCACCAGATTTAATTGCCTTTTTCACTAGAGTTCTTGCCATAGAGAGAACTCTAGAATGAGATGATGAACATTACCACTTTCATCGAAGCTTACTGTGGTACACTTTTCTGACACTAAAATACATAACTGGTATAATACGAAAATAGCTAAATGTTAGTTGAATAAATTGCTAGATAACCTCCCAATACTCAAGATATTTTAAAATTTGTTTTAACGAACATTCGATATCAGTTCAATTTCTGTTGTGCACTTGCATTCTCTTGGTTATCTTGTAGATCCTTAGAGTACTTAGCTCATCCGTAACACATTTTGCATATCAAATATAATAATCTCGCGAGCACTATTTTAAGTAATCTGGTCACTTCATATTTCGCTTCGGTGTCAGTTCTTATGATTCAGATAAGCTACTGATTAATTTAGTACTAGTGTACATCACTTCAGGATGAAGACTAGGCAAGTAATCAAGTAGTAACAACACATACATTCTGTACATTTGCATTACCCCTGCGGCAATACTTCTTCAGCCTACGGACTGCTGGTAGGAACTTCACATAAACCAGTCAGTTCATCAGCGCTGAAACAGGAAAATGGGAAGGAACTTTCGTCCATCGATACAGTATACCGGAACAGAGAGAACCAGTATCTTGAGACTAATATTTTCTAATCCCGAAGCTATCAGCTTTTCTTACTCGCATAACTGATGTTAATGTTGTGCTTGTTTCGATTTCCTATGAAAACATTTAGTGCATACAGCCTGTGAATATGTAATTCATTCACCCATATCTTTGTAGCTAACTGAAAAATATACTGATACCGCATTTTTACAGCACCGCTACTATCTGCACATAATAAATATTAGGTATATGTATAATTACCTATTTCTGAGAATTTATGATTAAAGTGTTTTCATACTGAAACCGTATAAAACGATATATTTAAAGTAGACAATGATTCTTAAAATCATGTAAGTCATAAAGACAATTAAAACTTGGAAAATTAAAAGGAATTGTCAAAAATTTCAGAATTGGCACATTTTCTTCTATGTACCCGATCGAATCCTGTGTGAAACAACACGTATAACATCATTAAATACTGATAACATAAACTCATAATAAAAAAACGTCAATATTCCCCATGTTAGGCATAACAACAAACCGACTATACACGCCGTAATTACCAAGTGTCTTGCTATATCACTTTTACGCCGATATCTGTTAACATCAGAGGCACGATAATCAGTATAGGCACATAATGAATAAGCCAGTGCTGGAACTGAACACCATATTGTAATTGGACAACAGAATATTGCAAATAAACTGCAAACTATTGGACATTTATCAAATGTTTCTTCACTAGACAATGGTTTAAATATTTCAGGATTATTATAACCATTTTGATCAACTCCAACAATTGCTGAAGCAGATCTAACTAGAAATGCTTTTGCTGCTTGTGGCTGATACTGGTGTACAAAATATGACTGTTGTTGATTTTGTTGTTGCTGTTGCTGCTGTGTTTGTTGGTGGTTAAGAATATGTGAATAATTTTGTTGGTAGTACTGTTGTTGTTGTTGTTGCTGCTGACATGGTAATGGTGTGCAAAGATGACGGTTAAGCGGATTTGTGGTATATGCAGCATAGGGGATATTATAGTCTGTTGGAATAATACTAGCATTCTGCTGAACAGTTAAATTATATTGGGGATGATGTTGATTGTAGTAAGCCGATTGCAGAGAAGTATTATATACGAATGGGCCATTTCTTCCTTCATTATTAAATTCCTCTAACATATTCCTGTCCACAGGAGTTTGTAGGCCAACTAAACTACCCTGTGGATCATAAATTGGCAAAGTGTTAAACGCTGCACCACAAACTTTACCACTTGTATTGACTAGATTGTGATGATTAGTTATATTTTCATCATTGTCTTCATATTCCTCTTCCTCTTCTCCCTCTTCCTGTATAACGTGATTTGATGTTTCATCAGGATTTGGATGATTTGGAGATAAGTTTTCTGCATGAGGTGAAGATGTTGACGGTACTGATGAAGACTGCTGAATTCCATTCATAGCTGATTTCCTTTATTCAAAGTAGTTTGAGATTTCTCACCTTAAATGGAAAAAAACGAAGCATGACTGTTTACGTAATCAATTAGCTTTACTTGTTAATTATAACTTCCAGACGCATGATAGGATTGCAACAAACTAGTATTTCAGTCTTTGAAGAGCTCATCAACAAACCCTGCAAATATCTTAAAGTTTTTTGCATTCCGTGGCGTGTGTGATGGATGCTACTGACGAGATTTTGTAGATAGTACACTGTATGTGATATCTTCTGCAAGAATATCTAACAGCTGAAGGATGGATTAAATGATGAAGAGAAAAAACGAAAGATCCTTGTGAAAAAAAAAACAGAAAACACGAAAGGAAGACAAAAGAAAGACAGTACGGAGAACATGTAAAAAATTTTTTTGTTATTAGATGGTTGAGACCAGTCAGCTGGAAGCCTTAGAGCTACGTTTCGTGCTTGTTGGCACGCGTCAACAAGGCATATCTACAACCCTGAAGCAACTCAGATTCCCTCTGAGATCCGAACCGGTGTCAGTCAGTCCTACAGTCAGAGACGTTACCATTGAACAATTAGGGCTGACGGTTGACTTCTTAAATGACTGTAGGGTATATGAATAAAAAATTCCACTGCCGAATACCATCGTGTTCTACTCTTACGTATCTACCAGAATGGTAGTGAAGATGTGAATTAAAAAAGATAAAGAAGACTTTTGAAGATAAAAGCGAATTCGTGATTAGAACTGATGCCTGTTTCCCCAGATTTAAAACTAATCCTATATCCGATTATGGAATGCAAAAGTTATTTTGATTTAAGTGAATTAAACTAGAAATTGTGAGAGGCGAAATATAAAATGTGCAATATATAAGAGGAATCATGGGGAAAATGAAAAGTCTAATATGTGGACAAAACGTTATACCTTTTTATGTCAATTTAACCATCTTAGTAGTCAAGTTATCAAGAAAACCAAATTTAGAAATCCCTTTTAACTTTTCTCTCATCAGTTAGAATTAATGCCTTGAAATACGTTTAACAGAATGTCAGGTTATCTCTTGCCGGTTACTGTGTAAAATATAACTTTATGAAGTGCTTCGTAAAGTTATTTAAGTCTATGCAGAAGATAGTAAATCAAACAGTCTGAAAACAACAGGCTACTGACTACAACCTCAAACGTATATTCTGCGTCTCTCAATAGAGTATTTTGAATTAATCTGCTGTCACAAATACTAGCTGCATTCCAATATTAGTATTTAGATTAGGCGACAGATATTTCTGATGAGTTCATCTCTCAACTGAAAAAGAAAAAAATAATACTGCCATTATTTCTCAAACAATATGCTTTTCATTATCACTGAATATTCAGCCACAAATTTAACTGTGTTCTCTGAAAGATGTACGGAAAAAAAGTGATCGTTTTATCTTAATTCAACTGAAATCAAACTGTTAGTCGATGATAACGTTAACTTTTGACATAAGTAATAGGCGTCATAATAGTATAGTGTAATGTAGTGCACTAATTTATGCTGAACATGTATTTATGATTTCATGCATACGAAGAAACGGAACCAAATTCTTGCAGATAGACTAAATGAAATTTTCTGCTTTTAAAGACATAATACTGCAAATACATTACTAAGAAATGAATTGAAGAATTTGGTCTAAAGTATGAAAATTAATCTACAAGTTTTCACCAGTTGACAGTATAACCCTCGATAGGTATTTTGGTCTTGTTCATCAATGAATATCAGTTATCTTCCCTATTTTCGAGTTATTTGATTTATGTATGGAAGTACAATTCTCCTCTATAAGATAAATCATTAAAAAGTTGTGGGTTGAATTTCGTCGTATTGATTTCTCTGAGTACATATTACTGTTATTTTAATAAATCATCTACAAATTACTACTTTCAGCTAGTAGTACTCACACAAGAAAGAAAATAAGTAGGCTAAAAATTGATTCATCCGAATTATGTAGTTGGCGTAGAGAATCAACTAATGCCAATATCCTAATTCGCATAAATTTCATGGGAATCTTTAAACAAGTGGAAAACTGATTCTGACGTATCGAGAGCATCCGAAGGTTCTAGACATAGTGCAGCCAGGAGTTGAGAGATGCGGACTAATGCATTCAGACCCAGAAACTGGATGATAAAGTGCTTGTTTTAACAATAATATTAATTTTTCCCTGGAGATAATGTTTAAACACACTGTTGAATTCTCAGACTAATTTCTTGCGTAATATGTAATCCCACAGAGAATCTTTGAGTAAAATATTCAACGATAGTATGTCGTATGACACAGCATCATTCTGTCTTAAACAAGACTCAACCCTCTAACATAGTCCTCTTCATTTTCCTCTTGAAGTGCAAAGGAGAAAGGGTGGAAGCAAATTAAAAATTTGTTTGAGTTCATAATACTACCCAAAGAAATAACTGGAAGATTAAAACAACAAGAAGTGGAAGAAAGTAGATGCACTTTACAGAATGGGAATTTAGGTAGCCTAGTGGTCTAAACAGGCCACCAATTTGCTTAATGTTTAATGAGCTGACTCTACACTGAATTATTATTGTACACTTCTGAAAAATCCTGAATTAGAATGCTAATCTCCGATTTTTCTTATTGATTCCCTCAGTACAGATGATTTTTACTTTTCCCTAAACATCACGACTGGATAATTTGTTCAACTTTAGATATGCTTTATTGCTTTGTATTTAAGAGTTACAACAGCTGGTAGTGAAATATCTATCCGTTAGCACATAATCCACTAATTTCTCTTTTCATAAAAAAATATAACATAACTTGCTAAATAAAATCTTGATATTTTTAATTTAGGACTGGAGTGGAATGTATTCGTGTAACAGCTGTTGGTAAAAACGAGAAGAACCAACAATGTTATCATGCCATCCGATATATTTATAACTACAGACGTGGTTATTTCATATTCCGTAGGAAGTGAAATATAATATCATCTGATATTTCAATAGCTCTGTATTTTGTTATTCAAAAACCTTAAGACATTATCAAGGTTAAAAAAGATGTTTAGTTATAATACAGTAGACAAATACCTACAAATACAAATAAAAAGAAATGAAAAAACAGCCTGTTTGTGAAATATTATACGTGTACATTTTTAAAAAGTTTGAATTAGTAAATTCGTACTAATTCATGCTATCTTTAAATATACCTGACAGTTTAGGTGTCTATTTTAAGGGATTTAATACATGGAATCACCATACTTATACATTAACCTATAGCTAATTATCCGGGTAAAAATGTATTTTTCCTATTATTGTTATTATTGTTTCCTTTAATTCCTAAAGGAGCATAGGGTTTCAGCCGCACGTCTCCATTACGTTCGGTTCTCCGCCAACATTTTCACCTGACTCCACATCTACCCACATGCTTTCATCTCCTCTTCGCATGACCTCCTCCACGTCACCCTCGCACTGACGACCAACTCGCAGCTTCCCGTTTGGGTTCCACTCGAGCGATTGCCTGGCGTGTGATGTCACTCACTTGATGGTTTATTTTCTCAGAGTATGCCCAATCCACCTCCATTTCTTCCTGCATGTTTGTGGCACAGCTGCTTCCTGGTTTGTTCACTCCCAGTGATCCCTGTTGCTGATCTTTTCTGGCCATCTCATCTTGAGCGAAAAAAGTTGTTAATGAAAGTCTGTAGTTTGTTCGAAGTGGCCTTCGTGACACACCGAGTCTCTGATCCGTATAGTAGTACTGACTTTACATTGGAGTTGAAAATCTGCATTTTGTTTTCATTCTGAGTGATGTTGACCTCCACACAGACGTGACAGGAATGAAAACTTGCCTTGCTTTCCCGATTCTTGCTTTGATATCCTCGTCAGTTTCGCCTGTAGATGAAACGATGCTCTTTCAGTCTTCTCTCATTTATGCTGATTGTTGCCTGCTGTTGTTGCTGTTGCTGTTGGCCAGGAATCTTCACCTCTGTTTTCTCTATGTTCACCTGAAGGCCTATCTCTGATGCTTCTTCAGCCAACTTGTTGCTTTTCACTTGCATATCTTCCAGTTTTTTGGAAATCAGACATACATCATCGGCGAAATCCAGATCCTCCAAGTTTCTTGTGTGAGTCCATTTTATGCCTGTCTCCTCATTGCCCGCTGTCTGTCGCATTATCCAGTCCTCTGGTTGATAGTATTTTGAAGCATTATCGATATAAAAAATAATTTACTAACTGTTCCATAGCGTCAAGCGATTTGGTGGATGGTGACTAGCAGTGAAATCCTTGATGTACATACATTCTGTCCCATTTGGGACTCAGTAGCTGGATGTACCTGCATCCCCCAATGGGTGATGGGGTTCTCAATGAGACTTGAACCCAGTACCCATAATCTCAAATGCCAGAAAGTCATCCAGTAGGCCACTTGGACCACAAGTCCTTTTCATATTCATTTTCATACCTTAATCGTCTAAGTGATTTCCAATGTTTTAAGATATATTTCAATGAATTGTCACTTAATGGCAAGGTGAGTAATCTATACTATGAAATTACCAATACATCACTAAGATTATAAGCCACTATATTTTGACTGTACGCCACTTTACATCATTAATTATTGTCATCCAGAAAACCTACTCACTATTGTTCAGACATGAGATGAATTTTCCGAAATTCCAATGAGAACTAATAAAGAAAATAAGTTGTGATGGTAATGGTTATTAGTTATGACTAAGCGAAATTCAAAGATCATTCACCACTGAATATCGACTTTGCATCTGAGTAGTAATCTGCCTACCATTGTAATCAGATAATAATGATAGCTGGCCCAAAGAACATTTTGGATATACACTAGTAATTAGGTGGAGGTGATGATGGAATAGGTGTGCACTGTTTCTTGCTTCTCAACTATTCACTAAATGATCTCAGATCAGTTACACTATTTCCCTTGAAAGTCATTGTCCTCAAATTTCAAATCTGAGGATTTAAAATGCAGTTTAATTCCACTGAAATGACACAGCAGTTAACACTGATATGTAGCCAAAGTACTAAAGTACTTCAAAGAAAAATAACTAAGTGAAGTTATGAAGATATACTGAATATCACGATTTTATTTTTTAAGTACAATTACTACGTTTTAACTACCGGTATTTGCATTTATTTATTTGAACGTAAACATGTTACTGTATGAGAACGAAGAAATATACCACATAAATGAATATGACTACAATATAGAAAGAATATAAAATGTAGTTAACGAATAACACTTAGTGAACAGATAAAAATTCTCATGAATTACACTCAAAATACCATTT